CCACCCCTAGCTCTACAATCTCGTCCTCTACTACGTTAGAAACCCTTTTAAGGTACTGAGCAATAGAACTCTCACCCCATCTGAAAGTTTTCTATCAGAAATCACCGTCTGAAGTTAAAAGATTTATCTTACAAGGCTACCATCATTCCCATTTCCAGGCAGAAACCTACAGTGATTTTGAGATCGGCATCAGCAGTTTTCGTTCCAAGAACTTGGCAAAGAGCTACAGACAGCAAGCTGCTGAAGAAAGCCACAGTAAGCAGCACGTGGACCTTCTGCTCTTTGCTTAACTTAGAAGTTCTCAAGCAAATCACTGTAGGAAACATTATGATTGAAAGCAGAGGTCCTAACATAGCCTTAAACGGAACTGAAAAACTGCAGAAAAAAAAAATAGCACAAAAGTGTGATTTTTTTTTTCCAGAAATTGTAGAATATGTCTAAGAACTTGCCACTTTCAATCAAAAACGACTTTTTTCCTTCCAGTGCTGATAACTTCCTGGCTTCTCAATTTTTCAACAGTTTTTTTTTTTTTTTTTCCCTAGCTGAATACTGAACAAGGAAGAGTTGAAGATCACTGTAACAAGGAACAGCACTTTGTAGATACGTGGCCAAAAAGATTGCAGGTCTGTTCATATGATATGATAGTCTATATCTGTCAGCTCATTTATTTGCACAAATCATCTCATTTTCATCTTACTGAACCCTTACAGTAATAAGAATTACACAGAAATAGCTAATAGATATTGATCATGTGCTACCTGAGAAAGTTAGAAGAATGAAGGCCAACTTTGTACTTAAAAACCAGAAAAAGCCAGCAGAAGCAATGCTTGCCACTTGAGAGACCTCCACCTTAATTTAAAGTCATCTCCCTTTTTAGCCATAGTTCACAAGTTCATTTCTCTAAATTTTGTTTCAATTGCATGGTGACAAATAGAAAAGCAAGCTGTCGTGCAGAGGTGCAGCACAAGTTAAGTGAATTACTGTCGCCTGTAGTTAAAAAGCAACAGACACATAGGCATGCAGGCAGACATCAGCACATCAGTTCCTGATGGACAAGATGGGTCCATCTCACACAGAAGTTTGCAGAATAGGTTTGGCCAATGACTGAACCATCTCACTGTGGTCCCAAGTGATCCTTACACTGAATGCTAAATAAAGCACACTGCTGAGATAAAGCAGGGAGAATAGGATGACACTGATTTTGTCCCCAGGTTGTTCCCATCCACAAACTTTGGTCTGCAAATCTTTCTAAATCAACCCTTTTGCAAGGATTTACAAACTGATTTCCAAGGTGACTTCAGTACAAATTAAGAGCCGTTCATATATCTTAGTATTAGCCTAGGATAGTTCAGTTCTGAAAAAATTAAATAACTATGCTAGCATCAGAAGCAGGATCTTAAAAACAGGAATGTAAGCTATTAAATAATCTAGAGAACACAACAAGGCAATATTAACAAAGGAAACTGAAACTAAAAGGTGTATATGTTCCATATCAGAATTCCCACTCATAGTGACAATCAAATTTATACAGAGCTCTCGGTTTCATGCTTCTCTTCCCACTCTTTCTTTCAAGCTGCCTTAAGGGGACAGAGAAAATTGGAAGAGAGAGGAACAAAGAAATAGGAAAGCAGCAGTTTATTTATTATACATGGCTGTTGTTTTCTCTTTACATCTACTCTGCTGACTCAAACTGTATTTGTCTTTTACTGTCTTCTCCAAGGTTCTCTGTCTCCTTTGACGCTTTTCATACTCAGATGATACCGTGCTGATAAACAAACGCCTCTCTCCCTTTACAGCTGTCAAATACAGGCAGCATGCATGCTTTTAGCCAGAGAGACAGAGAAGTTATTCAGTTTCATTTCCTTCTTGAAAACCTTCATAGAGCTTTTACTTCTGGGAGAATGCAACAGAAGAGCTGAGGGAGGCAAAAATCAACTGAAGTAGAATACCTAAAGTCAAGTGTGGAAGGCAGGCTTTTTATTTATTTTTTTACCTCGTTCATCACCGGAGATTGTGAACTTGTGAGGACTTTGCCCAGTCCATAAACCTACATAGCCAAGAAACGTAGTGCCTCGATATGCTATCTGAAACCAGGAGACATGGAGTATTTCAGCGTTCTGGAATAGAGCACTTTTCGAAATAGAAGCAACATTCTGAAACAGTGTAGCATACTTTTTCCTGTGCCTTCCATGCATCATTTTGAAAACCTCTTTAAAACCTTTTGCAAAGGAAGTTATAAAAAGACTCTGAGGACCAAAATACACTGCATTTAATTTGTTAACAATCACCAACTGCTACAAAAATACTGCTCAAGTTGGCAAGTGGCCAAGTAAGAATGAAAGAAAGAATTCTGTTTACAAAAAGTACAAATGAATAGTAAGAAAATCACACCAGCAAGGACTGCGCTAGTAAATAGTTCATTTTTGGCAATTTTCATCTAAGACACACAGGCATTAATCAAGACAATCAAGAAGGCCTTAGAAAAATACCTTAGAATCTCTCCCTGCCAAAATGGATCAATTTCCTATATTCTCTAGTATTTAATCTTTTTCAGAATCTTGGCATTTTCTTCTTTCTACACCTCCTTCCAAATAATCATCTTGAGACACAAGATTATGCTCTTTAATTTGTTCCAATTTGTCACCCCTAACTAGAAGTCCAGGAAGACAAAGACAAAAACAAAGCAAAACAGCACTCAGCCCATGTTCCCAGAGAGGAACTGTGGCATTCTGATAATTCAGTCAATTTGGGTCATGAACCTCATTACTAGATTAAATACCACAGCCTGTGCAGCTGAACAACAGTACACCACTGCTTCACAAAATACTTTAGGTATGCTACACTCAACCACATCAGCTACAGTTCATACCTGCCCACTTTTTATAAACTGCACATCGATGGTAATCTTGCTTAATATATCTACAAAATCATAATCCAGGTTCCGTCCATGGTAAATGTTTCCTTTGTCATCCTGAGCGATAATACTCGTGCAAAACCTTAAAGAACAAAAAAGGGAAAGAAGGATTTTAAGAAAAGGTATGACAGCAATTTCAATATTCTGATCTAGCTGAACTTGCTCAGGTTTTCAGGAGTAACTGAGCTATAGTAACTGAGTACAGCACCTATGAAGTGAAGACCTTTCCCAAAAAGTCTAACATAGTGAAACGGTACAATATTTAACTTAGGACATCCCACATGGCTCAGAAAGCCAAAATCCCATCTCCTCCAGGTCAGGTGTTACACCGCTGGGCAGCCTGCTCTGGTGGGGCCACCAGCCCACAGCTTAGGGTGGAACTGGGCATTGAGATCCCTTCCAGCCCAAACCGTGCCACGGTTCCGTGATCTTCACAGGTTCCTTCGAACTCAGATCTTCCATAGTTCTATGACGGAATTAGCAGGGAATTCAAAACTCCTTTTCTCAGGAGTTGTAAGGAGTTGTAAGTTTGCATCCCGGTGATGCACAGCACTGTCTGTTAAAATTCTAACGGTTAAAAAAAAAATAATATAATGGCAGACCAGCAGTTGGATCCTAGTTGATGTTTATTCTCGAGCGTTGTTAGAGCTGAGAAAGTCAAAATACCACGATCCTCATCAGGCTCACAACGCTGCCTGCGAGCGGGCATACAACCAGCAGCCGGACCGGCCGCGAGGCTCTGCGCCTCGTCCCGACCCGCGCACAGCCCGCCTCCGGCTGCACGCACGAAACGGTGCCGCGGCCGAGTGCAATTCACCTGCCTGTCCCCAGCTGCCCTTTCACGCGTGCTCCCGCACCGAACCGAAACGAACCCGCGCAGCCCGCCAGGCCCCACCGGTATCTGCCACTTACGCCGTAGATTCGTAGGCGAAGTTGAGCAGCACTCCGTCGCCCAGGCTGACACCCAGCGCCTCGCACAGCCCTCGAATTTCCCCAGCAAAGGGCTGCGGCATGAAGGACTCCAGCTCCGCCGCTATCGGACGAATGACGCCGTGGAACCATTTCGGCACGGCTTCGCTGCAAAACACGCTTCAAGGCGTTAGCGAGCCGACGAGGTCTGTCCGCTACTTGCGTCGCGCCGAGAGTCCGCAGCGCAACGCCGCGGGCGACCTCTCCGCCGTCCGGAGGCGCCCAGCAGCCGCCCGGCCGCCCCACCCGGCCCCGCACTCACTCGATGACCCGGGCGACAGCTGCGCGCAGGAAGGCGGGCTCGAAGTGCCGCAGCACCGGCAGCCACCGCTCCTCGGCCGGGCTGTCCAGGCTCACGTTACACAGCAGCGGGGCCGCCGCGGGCCGGGCCGCCGCCCCGCACAGCACCGCCGCCAGCAGCAGCCCCCGCAGCGCTCCCCGCCGCATCGCCCTCGCCGCGGCCGCCGGAGGGCACGGCCGTCCGAGCCGGGACCCGAGCCACAGCGGCCGCCTCACGCCCCTGAAGGGCGGCTCAGGGGGAAGGGCCAGGAGATGGCGGCGCGGCGCACAACGGTTGCCTCCCGCGGAGAAAGCCCCTCGCGGCCCCTTCCCGCCCGCCGCCGCCCCACGGGCACCTCAGGGAGGGAGGACGGCAGGGCAGCGTATGCAGAACTGACAGAGGAGGCGTGAGGATATGGAAACGTCTGTTTCAAGTCCCCGAGGAGCTCTCATGTTTAAGTGAGGGAAAGGAGGCTCTTGAGAAACTGGACACGGCTGCTAGAGGCTGGGGGCCCCGGCTCAGCTGAAATAAAACACCTGCAGGGAAGAAAGAAACGCTTCTTCCAGCCTCAAAAACAAAATACTTCTAAGTCAACCCCCTTAGATTAGGGACATTCCACTCAGTTTTTCAGTGAACAGAGAGAAGAGAAGGGGATTTCCTACAGCTGTGCAATTTCATCCAGTGCTCTTCCCTGGCTGCGGTCTCCAGCCACCAACTGCAATAAGTTCCTTCCTCTTTCTGTCTCCACCAGCAGCCTGGAGCCCCTTTTAGCTTCCATGCTCTACGGTAAGTAAGGTGGGGCAACAAAAATAAAATAAAATACCCACCGTAACAACCCGTAAGAATTCCAATCGATACAACTGGGTCTTTAACATAAACACCTATGCCAAATGAATTCTGGTATGGAATATAAACAGTCTAGCTTCTTAAAGGAAAAAAAAAAAAACACCCCAGCTGCTTCTCTATTACACTGTGCATGACACTTCTCCTCACTAAGGGGAGCAGAGCTTCACAAAGGATAGTGTAAGTAACTCAGTTATCATGGAAATGGGTGGGTGACAGAACAGCTAGTAGCACTCCAAGCCAAAGCTAAGGCTGAAGCAGTTCAACCTTTACATCAAGGTAAAGAACCCACTAATCAGTGTTGTTCTCATACACACTTCAAAAAAATCAAACAGAAGCAACTCCCACCACATGATGTACTTACTGATAGAGGAAAATAAGATACCTTCTTTTGCCTCCATGTGATACTTCTGTTTAAATGGGAATGTGTAAGCCTCCTTCTTCTATATTAACTTCATTCTTTTTTCCCCTAATACACTATAGTGAAGCAGTTCTTCCCCTTAATTTGGTTTTATCATGAACAAATGAGTAAAAAACCAACCTCTTTGGAAATGGCTTGCTAAGTCTATGAAATCACACCCATAAGTCAGGCATACACATTACATATACACGCACTTCAAGGGGTGAGCTGGAATATTCATTTTCCTTCCAATTACCTCTTCATTTATTTAATCAAGAAAAATATTTTTTATAATAAAATTGTATGTTTTAATTCATACTTACACAAAACAGCCGTAAATAAATTATTTTCAATAAAAAGGTAAAGCACTCTAGGAAAGGTGATTAAAAATCAAAATCCTACGAGGATTAAGGCCTCCTCAGTGTCCTATAGATGCAATATCCAATTTGGCAGCGTTTGATTTCTAATTCTGAACAGAGTAGAGAGATATCAAAATGAATCCACAAGGCAATTCAGTTCTTTTCTTCCCCCCCTACTTCTTTGAGAGAGGAGAAAAGTATTTCTAGAGTTGTTTCTTCAAGGATAACTATTCCTTTCCTTTACTGTTTTATTTCAGCAGCTGCTTCTTCTTCCTCAGAAGTGCATCTCTAAGAGCCAGCTGGAACATGAAACAAGAGAGGAATATTCAGGTATTTCAAACTCTCACACCTGTAACTATTAAGTAAGGAGACTATTGCATCGACAGTCCTCTTCAATACACCCACCACACATATCCCATTGGTACAGACATACTTGTAGATAAGATCAGAATTTAAAATTACAGACCAATTAAAACTATGCGTAGAGTATTTGATAAATAAACCAGATTTTCTAAGAGAAAGGTACAGCTAACAGCTTGCAACATCTGTGCTGTAATACACCTCTAAAGCAGCTTATATATATTATAGGTGAGGTGGACTTGCAAGATGACTTATGAACCTGAATTAGCTTTAAACCATCTGACTCAGGTGCAATAACAGCGTAACTGTAACAGCATTGAGGAACCAGTGGATCACAGACAAGCAAGTTAGTCACGCTCAACTCCTTCTTACTGCAGTTTCATGACTATTTACACCCAAGATCAAAAGCCACTGTTTTATCTCTGAAGGTAGACAACACGAATTTGATGCAAGGACTGAAAAGTAGTAAGATACTAGAATGCAAACAAAAATTTTTCCAGATTCCTACAGAAAATAGGAGTATAACAATATTTTTAGCTGTAAAGTTAAGAACTTTGGGTTGTGCTTAGAATTAAGCAGATGTTTCTGTATAAGTTTCACTAACTTATTTTCAATAACAATGTGTATTACCAAGGAAAAATCATTTGTTCAACCTCAAAGAAATACCAATAATTTTTCAGCTAAAACTGGGAGCAATAACTTTCAAGTGCTAACACACATACAGTGGCAGAAATGCTGTGGTTGCTTAGTTCAACTTTATATTTCAGGAGTGAGTTTGGCTTAAAAGAAAAAAAATCTTTCATCAATGCATCAGTATGTCATTTAACATCCTATATAATTAGGAAAAAGACAGAGTAACAAGTGTGTTCCACTGATTAATTCAGCACAAAGGGACCAGAAGAAACTTCAGTCCAGCTGAAAGGTAAGTGGAATTAACAGACATTTTTGGAAAAGTTATTATGAAGCTGCTTTTCAAGGGTGGGAAGAAAGAGTGCCATGAAAAACAAAATCTCTCTGAAGTGATATATTAGATATGTTTTAGTTTGTAAGAAGATTTAGCTCTAGACTAAAAGAACATTCCATTTTATTCTACCACTAAGGAGGGCAGTAGAACACAGTATATTAAAACTACATTACTCCAACCCTCTTTTAACTGGTACTTAGAAATCACAGTCAACTGGTACTGTAGTCTAGTAAGTATGAAAGATCCCTTCCTTTCACTGTTCAGCAGTTGCACTGAAACTCAAAACATTAAATCCAGAACAAGTACTGAAACCATTCAAGATGGCTCTTTAGAAACAGCAAGCCAAGTTTAAGAGTCATTATAATCTCAAAAAAAAAAAACCAATCCACAATGGAGATTGTTTTAAGCGCACGGATACCTGTTTTGGATGTATATATTTAATATTACCTGTTTTTCCCTGAAAGAACGCTTATTTTTGGTCCGGACATTATGGCTATATCTCATCATCATAAAGTTCTTCTGCTTTTTCTTTTCTTTATTGGTTGAGCTGGCAAAGGGATTCAATCTTTTTTTCTTTTTCACAAATTCTTTTCTATCGGTTTTTCCAGCCTAGGATAGGTAACACAATATAACAGTAGTCGTTTGTTTTTCACTAGTTAACATAAGCTGCTAGATTCTAGGGTAGCAATTATAAATCTGGATTCAATATTCCTCCATGCTGGCTGTATTAAGTAACAGTGAAAATTGGAGGTGCTTATATTTGACCAGCAAGAGATTGTTTCTCTGTTACAGCCAAGCTGCAACATTTAAAAAAAAAATTAATCAGAACACAGATGGCAGCTGGACACCTGTACTCCACTTCCTTATTTCAGAACAGATAAAACCCACAGCCCTTTAAGAAGTCTAAAAGAGGATATGAAATAGCCAAGTTCCTCACCATTGCAGTTGCCAGTCTTGTCTCCTTGTCTGACTTCGGCTTCTTATGGAGATGTTCAATATCTCTGAGTGAAAGCAACTCTCCTCTACATACACAAAAATCCAACAAATCCAATTATCATACACAAAGCATCTTCTGACCAGAAAAACAAAATGCTCTCCTGACTTTTGTCTCTCACTCACCTCCTATGCCATTGCACTGCTATACTCACTCACAAAAGCACTTCTTGTTCTTTCTCTCAGGCTAACCCTCATTTTTGGGACAAACCCTATAAAACGCTTTCACTACTGTTTTTCAAGACCAGCTTGAACCACAACATTTAAGAATCTGGAGATACAGAGTTGCAACTACAGCTAGAAAAATAACATGCCCATATGTCTGAACAAGAAAACTAGTCCTACAGTTTCAATCAATGCCTCTTGCTTTTTCTCACAGATTTAAATCCCCCAGGCCAGGATCCATTTGAGGCTGTGTGGCTGTTCGTCACCTGTCACCAGCCATGAATGACCAAGTTCTACATCTGGCATCAGAGGTTACCTCACCAGAGTCTGGGTGAAAGAAAGAACTCATTAGCACTTTATATCCTACCTGCTCTCCTCTTCATCATCTATTTCAATATTCTTCCTCTTTGCAGCTTTGCCTGGTGCAGAATTGATTTCTCTGGAGAGCTGGGCAAGACGTATTCTGTGGAAATCTTCCTGAGTTAGCAGCCTACTTGTACTGACTGCTGCAGCTTTAGCTTTTCGTTCCTCCATGGGCATGCTTTTGATCTTCTCTGCCTTTTGAAATAAGAACAAAAATACAATCATCCTGACCTTTGCAAGCAAATTCTATGCTATAATTAATGACCCTTGCCCCCCAAATATCTACATGAGAATAACATTGCTTGAAAATGATTTAAACAGTTGTCAGGACTCTTAGAAGTTTTATATCCTACATGTGGTATTAGAAGAAAGGAGTACCTCAATTTCTTAATATTTCAAAGCAGATAAAAGCACTCACCATGCAAACATTATAGCTTGGCAATAGAACAGAATTCCCCAACTTTCTCTCTTCATCCTGACAATGCACACTTCAGCACAGGTGCACAAGTATACTTCACCTCAATGATTCTGGTTAAATTAATCTGTGTAGTTAGTTTAAAGCAGTCACGTGAAAGTAGAGCAAGAGAATCTGGACTGCTATTAACAAGTCCCATTTCTATTTAGGGTAGAAGGCAGTTGGAACTCACCACTTCTTGCTGTTCCTCATCTGAAGAGTGGTGCACGTCAATCCACTCTCCATCCTCACCGTCATCCTCCTCACTCATACTAGCACTTTCCCATCCATCTGCTCAAGGGAAGAAATGCACAGAGCTGCTAGTACAAACCTGGTTTACCTGTTTGAGTTTCAGACAATTTAAGAGCAGATCTCAAGCTCTCACCATCTTTCTCTATCTGCTAACTATATGCCCAGGGACATGCTCACCAAACAAGTAAACTGCAGGATCTTGACACCCCAGCATCAGAACCACACATTAGAGACTGAAGATACCTCACATATCTGGTCAATTTAAAGTAAATTCACAGCCAAACAGATCAGTAGCTCCAATGTTTTCCCACTGACAAGTTCAGCAACCAAATTACATCTGGCTTGCAATGTCAAAGCCTCACACTGCACAACTCTGGCAGTGACTGACTTGAAGCTGAGATGTCTTTCTATAGCTCGGATCTCTTAGTGCACCTACAGTTATGGATGCTTTTTTTTTTTTTTTAATATAATGATAACCACGTATGGCGGTGTAAGATCTTTGAATGCACACTTCTAGAACAAACTTTGTAAAGCACCTGTCCTATCTTGTAATTATCATGAGCTGCAATCTCCTTGACACATTTTGTTGTTATAAACATTCAATAACATGCAACAATGGGGACCTCATTTACTTAGAACAAACCATAGAAGATACCTAAGGAATTTGCAAGAAGTTAGCATTGCAGCAAGCTGTACTGTAACCTATGCTTTGTAAAGAATAACTCTCATTTTAAGTTAAAGGCTCTCAAAACAATGAACTGCATTTTTGGAGGGACTCTGAAGAAATGCACTAGTTTGCAAAAGTTAACTGTATCACACTGTTCCCTCTTCCATCTCTCAGTATACATTGTATGAAGAAACACAGTGACCATCAGATCTTTCTCGATAAACTGCATTTAACTCAAGGACAAGTATCAGTGCTTCTTAATAGACAAATACATATATGCAAGACATGCAGCACATGAGAGCAGCAAATCAAATGCACGAACACCAAATGTTAAGAACAAATAAAACCTTAGTGGTGATGATGCACAAAATTGAAGTAATAAAGAAGAAATGCCTACCTTCTTCTTGGTTTTCTCCTTTTTCCTCTTGATTCTCAACCTCCAGTACTTCTGCCCCTGGAATGTAGTCCTTGGCATCCAGTTCTCCATATTCATGAATCCTGGCTTCCACTGAGGCCTCAGTAGGTTTACCCTATAAGTAAACAAAATACATGCTAAGCAGGCTGCTATTTTAATTCCCACAAACCCGTTAAAAATAGTTAGATGGGGGTTATAGAAAAATTCTGCATGATGAAGCAATTAAAAGTATCTTCAACTACTGTAGAGTTCAGTAACTCTACTGTACTCAAATTCTAGGGGGACAGGTTTCTGTAACACTTCTGTCAATGAGTTTGATAAATTTGTACTAAGGCAGCCTGAAACAAGAGAAAGCCATGTCAAAATGCAGCAAGAGAACAGGCATGGAGAGAAAAATACACAGTCGCATCATGTTCTCAAGAGGCTATGAGACTAATTATCATCATCATTTTTGAGCACGTGAGCTTATGTGTACAGACAATGAACTGCATGGAAAACAACCCTTACCCGGTATTTCTTCTGCAGCATCTCTGGATTCAGTGAACGGAAGAGGTGTATCAGAGTTCTTGCAGACATCATCACATCTACCCAGAAAAAAAGGATCAGGACTAAGTACAAAATAGCAGACTCTGAAGCAAACTGAAAGCTCACTCCCATAAACATTATTTACAACCTGCTCATGCGACTTCTTGAGTTACAGCTTCACACTGATTTCTCTTAGAGCCAAATGTTCACTAGCTAGTAGCTGATCTTCTCTACTTTTGTCAATTATTCCCTATGCCTTAACTACCCTTGACTGTTTTTGTCTGTGTATATGCACTGAAATACAAGTCATACTGAAAACAAAACATTTCAGTCCACGTTAAAGAAATAACAGCATTGTTATGAAAGCTGTAACAACTGAGGGCCAGCTGATACAACAAAAAAGAAAGATATAAGGATATAGAAGTATTATCCATGTAATACACTCACTTTTATTTTTATGAGTCTTGTAGTGAGCAAGGTCGTGGAGGAGATCTTCAGTCATGGCTAATGGACATCTTGCAGTGATTTCTTTTATTGCATTGATTCTAAAAATTCAAAATGAAATATTTTCCTGAATAACACAGTTAGGAGAAACTTTCACTGGCCCAGTAACTGACTGAATTATCTCAAACTTGATGCATTTTATACAGCATGAACTATAACAAAGAGGAACATTACAGGATGCACTCTGCCGTAGTTCTCAAAAACCTTTCATCTGCACCCTGCATCTGCTATTTTCTCTGATCTTAGACCTCAGGATTCTGCAAGTGAAGTCTGGGCCCAAGCACGTTCACAAAAAGCTGTCTAACGGTCACCAGAGATAGGTGACGTGAAAGTGAAGAAGTGGTTTTGCTGTCAACCATGGACAGACAAAGGACAGCAATAAAGAGAGCCTGTGTTCTAATACAAGTTTCCTTTTAAATTACCTTCATGTACTGTCAGTACATTAAACTCACTGCTGTACTAAAACCACACAGATGAAAAAATAGTTCAAGAAATATTCTAAACATACCTGTATGCAGTAATCTTGACACACAGTTAAGCTCTCTCTTATATTTACTCATATTCTACTCTGTCTGTAGCAGGCCTTTTGCAAAAGTTTATGATTAGATACAGTCCTAACTTGTTTTTATTCAAGTATTTTTTAAAAGCAGTTTTTAAAATTTTTTTAAAAGCGGTTTTTAAAAGCAGAGATGAATGACAGCAATAGGCTGCAAATGGTGTATGTTTTTTTTTCTTCCACACACAGATAGAGTTCTACAGTTTTAATGAGGTTCTGTACCCACCCTACAGTCATGACCTCTCCGGAATTCTTATCAGTGACAAAGTTGTTGGCAATGGTCATCAAAACTGATTGGATAATCTGAAAAATATAAAAAAAGTGAATATATTTACTACTCATTTAATGTAGTTGTGAAAAATCACTATATCTTATTAACAGACAACAGAAAAGCAGAGCTCAGGACTCATCACTATTCCTTGCAACTAACTTTTGGACAAATTCTCCTGCAGAAATGAAAAATTAAAGCATGGGGATTATTTCTTTTTGTGCAAAGCAATGCCTTAGAACTTACAGAAATACCCAAGAGAGCAAAAAAAAAATCCCCTTAGGTTTTTCAAGAAAAATAATTTGACGAGATTCCTTGCTCCTCATCCCCAGTGACAGAACCCAACAGTCAGCATTCCCATGCAGACCCACTGTCCATTTTCAATATCACCAGAAGTAAGTGGAGTACTGACCTCAGGTGGTACTAGCTGGTGTGAAGCATGTGCAGCAAACAGGAGAATCTTTGTCACTTCTGAGAGAAAAGAGAAAAAGAAAGGGGAAAAGATGTCAAAGAATTATCAACACAACTTACTCTGGCCAATAACCACACTCACCAACACAAATACCTCCATGAGATCCTTGAGAACTTAAGTCTCAAAGTCATTTCAGGCTAAAATTATCTGGAACATCCTGTAAAGTATTTCTTCTGTCCTACCATGCGTTAGGAACACGTTCTGCTCTCCACCCCAGCAGCAGTACAGACCTTAAGTGCCAGCTACACTAAAGTACGTATTCCCATTGCAGACCAAAATATTAGGAAAACAAAGCAGCAAAAAGCACTCACAGCTTTGATCAGCTAGTGAGGATCCAAAAGGAACTAGGAACTCTGCAAATTCACTTCATCCTATTGCTGGAGATTCTCAAACACTCGAGTCAGGAAAATTAAGTCCATTCCTTGTTTTGGACAATCAGAGCCTTCTGTCTCTTTCATCCAACACTCTCTGGAACTACCCTTACTTCCTACTACCTACTAAGCTACTGCTGCCTACTCATAGCACCACTTTTAGAAACCAACCTTATATGATGGGCAAGATTGCAATCTACTAGTAGCTCCTTACCTCTCTGATGGGGCTGCAGGAATCTCTGAATGAAGGGGTAGAAATTAAAAAGAAAAAGCTGCAAGGACAATAAAATTTGTAACAGGTTAGCTGCTTTTAAACTTAAAATCATTTTCATAATCTGGTATGCTGTAAAGTCAATGATTCTACATAGCCTGCTCTTCAAATGCCTCAGATTTTAACCACATGACACATTCTCCAGTCCCAAGTGTGAAATACATGGAAGGTGAGGAAAGGACTCCAATTAGGGCAGTCTGCTGTATATTCCCCTGGCTTCAGGAACACAATCTTTTCTCCCAAAGCAGCCTGTCCCTAAATGCAAGTTAATTTAGCACCTGAGTCCATTCATTAAGTTTTCCAGCAAGGCTGAATACTTGATACTGGAGCAGACTAACACCTGGACACACACCTCCCAAGTGACAAGTATCTCATACACCTTCCACACCCAGACTTCTAAGTTCTTCTGCTTAAGTTTTACGCAATGAAGAAATAATCTGAGGCTTGACACCACTGCAATGCTTGGGTCTACGTGATATGCAAGACTTCATGTTCCAGATATTCTGGTCATTGAGAAGGTTGATTTGTGCAGAGTAAAGAATGATAAAGCAGATGTATGTGCCTAGCTATGATCCCAACACGGGGTCACAAAACAACCAGACTACTTTCTCATGCTTGCTATATTCAAGATTGCTCATACGTACTCATACGTACAGCCACAGTAGCATTTTCCCCTTCCTAGTAACCTTACAGATACCTGCAAGTGTGTTTCCCTCACTTCCCAGAGCCCACGTAAGGTACAGATTCTTGAGGAAATTTGATCTCACTTTGTCTGTACCTCAGAGAGTGCTGTTCAAGAGCAGCTGATGGACTCAATTTAAAAAACCTCTACGCTGAAGACCCTCGCAGGAATATACACAAGTCTTTAAATAGGCATCTTCCCATTATTCATGACAGCTCAAGCTATTACAGACCACCAGCCTTCTCAAGCAGAGCTCAGTACCATACAAGTCTACATTATCGTGCCATACCATAAAGATCTTTGGCAACTGCATGGCCCCACTCATCTTCATTTTCCAACACACAGCAAAATTAAAACTCATTCCCCATTACCATAAGGCCACAGCACATCACCACTCAACTAAGGTTAGCTTCCATCAGGACATTAAAAAACAAAGAGACTGCGTACCTCATGTATTCCAACTAGCCTAGATATTAGGTCCATGAGCATCATCTTCACTTCAAATCGTTCCTTACAGTTCTCCAGCTGCTTCAGTAGTTTCTCTGCAAAATCTAGAAGCAATAATAGATTTGTAGTAGACTGCAAACAACTCAGCTGAGACTGGATTAAGAGGGGCAGTCAAGGTTTTGTTGTTTGGTTTCAAGCTCTAGTGTCCTTGCACAGAAGAAAGTACGGGTGCTGAGAGCCCTGCTCCCAATCCATTATTTTTCCTCTTGCATGCCTAAAAGACCTGAAGTTGTACAGGTTCAACAGAAAAGAAAACTAGAAGTTCTCCAACATCATGAAAACAGTTAACATTTAAAGCTAGAGTTTTGTTTTTTTTGTGTGGGTTGTTTTTTTTGTTTTTGTTTTTTTTAAGATACATTTGGATCCATCTGAAAAACAAAATCCCCAGAGGTTCACTTGATCAGACTGTGAATGAGTTAAGTGATATGGCAAAAAAAGAAGGTGATAGGAGTGTGATCTCCATCCAGAGAGATGCTGCTCCCTCAGCTGCTAATCCTTAAATGAGGGGGAGAAGGGGCAGATCCAGACTCCCCAGATCATTCAGGTGCATTGCTTGCACCTGAGCTCCCTGGGTTGGCCACATCTTCTCACCTGGTGTTTAACCATTGGGTCAGGCTGTGACCTGGCAATTCTACTGCACAAGTGATATTCTTAATACTACTCTGGCATTTGTCTAATACATTTCTAGAAGGGAATAAGCCAAGAAAGTTATAGGGGATGAACTATTCCACTTTCACACAAATTATGGCCTTCACACATATAAGAAAAAGGCTAAAAGCCACATCTTGTTCTGTAGCAACCTAAGGCAGATGATGTAATATTGTTCCTTCCTTATCTGCCCTTCTACAAGTGTTCCACTCTGACAATTGTGATAAGATTATCTCACATTTTTAAGTACTATGAAACTCTAGGATAAGGGATGCTAGAAGTATTACACTGTCATCAGTGACGCCTTCCAGCTTTGCCCAAACTTCCATCTCTGGGATTAACTCAAAGTTCAAAAAAAGTACAGAATAAGTTAGAAAATACAGAAGGTGATACATGCTTACCTTGGGGATCATGAATCAAGTGAATAGCAGAAAAGTTGAATACCTCTGGCTTGCTTTTCTTCTTGTGTTTCTGCATGACAAGAAGTGTAAATGAGACATTTTTTCTTTCCATGTAAAAGTCGCAGGTGCTTCAGTACCAGGCTGCTATTTCTCATTATTCCCTTCTAAAAGAGGTGCCTCGATTTTTAATAAACTACCATTCTTCTCAATTGCATAGGATTTTCAGCTACCTGAACTAAGAGGCAACAGGAGCTCCATTAAAAAAAATTACTTCTCAAGACACCACGTGTTCCTAGTAAGGGATCACACAAGGGGTACTGCAGAGCTCAGCAAGTCCACAACTTAGACAAATGCATTTCAAAAGAGCTGTCTTCAGACAATCATGGCAAGTGCCTGACCAATGGAGGCTAGAATACTTAAGGAGCTTCGCTTGAAACAGATGACAAAAGATAACTAATATGACAGTGAAAACAGCATTTCCACACGTGAAAGATTAAGCTAAATACCAGCAAGTCAGACACCACTCTCCTCACCTTGAGAACCTTCATTGCCTTTTCCAGTTTCTTCTTGCGCTTGCTGGTTTTCTTGCTAGTTGCATACCGTACCATCAGATCTCTGGCTGTGGGGCCATCATCCTTCACAAGGAAAACAAGACTCAAGTAAAATCAGACTTCAAACAGGAAGCAGAAAAAGTATCAATGTTTTTGGGATCATGTACTACCTTTGAAAGTTGTCTCCCCCCACCTAAGTTCATCATACAGAGACAGTAGCCTTTAAAATCATGATTCCACAGAACCAACTACTAATACAAGAGAGATCGTGAACACTTCACAGCACATCAGTACTGTAATTCTTACAGGTAGGTAATCACAGACTATTATACAGTCTTATACAAATAGTTACATCCTGGTATTAGGAGGTTCTAAACTGAAATTGTATTAAGTTACCAACCTTTCAGAATAACTGAATTATGTTCATTTGTACATAAATGGGAAATTGAATCCAAGAGGGAGAAGTAAAGACAAAGAGCTATCCAAAAAAAAAAAGCCTGCTTCCTAAACATCAGGCAAGTCTCTTCTCACAACTCAAAAATTACATCTACACATTCATTAGCTTTAAAAAAAAAACAAACACAAAACAACAAAAAACAAACAAACAAAAACCACCAATGGCCAGCTTTCTGAGAAATGAGTTACTTCCTTAAAAGTGAGTATGAGAACATAAGGAAGCTCTTAGTCAATAGGAAAACAGCAAAAGCATCCTGCTAACATTTCTGGCCAACTGGCAACAAATTATATATTTTGGTGAGGTGGACAACCAACTAGAGGAAACAAAACAGAAGTGTTGGAGAAAGAGAAGAGGATGCATTGGTGTAGTAAATGTCAGCATGATCACAGCTCTTACACAATTTGAAGACTTGAGAAAATTTAATCACAACACCCACCTCAGAATCTGAGTCACTCTCTTGATTCTCATCTTCATCCTTCCCAAGGAAGAACTTCAAACCAGCAACTAATACCTGAAAAATGAAGTAAGCTGATGTAGAGCATAATAAATAGACAAGAGCATTTACTAGAGCCAAACATCCCTATCAAACGTTATGCTAAGAAATTCCCTATTATTAATAGGCATGGATACAAAAAGAAAGCAAACCAGATCAACGCGTTCCATTCAAAGTCGATTTCTGCTGCCAATTCTTAACAACCAGAAGCACACAAAGGACCAAAAGGCAGCTGAGCTTCTATAGTAAGTATATTCAGTGACGCACATTTCCTTCCTGTAGTTTGAAGTTGCTCTACGCCACTGTTATTGGTAACTCCTGAACAGCAGACACCAGATCAACTGTGTTCAATACTGTGGAAGAACATCTCAGATCACTGCATGCATTTTTAAAGCATCCAGCAGTGCAGAATCTCCGCAGATGACAGGTGGCCTCAGATCCACTCAAACCCCAGGCAGGTTAGCAATTCTCATCACATTTAACAAATAAAAGCCTTAACGGTGCTGCTGATGAAGGGGCTATATCCTGGCAGTGTCTACTGAGTAGCTGTGGAAAGTACACCCACCCTCTCCATACCAGCATGCATTTGTAATAAAACAAGCTTCTTATTCTCTCATCCAGTTTCAAATTGTTTCAGTTCTCACCTTTGTCACTTTGGAAAAACAGGCAGTTGTGATGACATTTACAGTTTTGGCATCATTCCTTGAATAAAACAGAAAATTATCTTTTACTTCAAGCCTGGCAATTTTCAAGGTATTCTCAGAAAATTAAGTTCCATGAATTTCTAAAAAACAATCTAAATTTCTATTAAGTCTCATGTACTTAAAAACCTTCCTGTTAAAACTGCAAGTCTCTTCCTTTCAGCAACATTTTTTCATCAGTTTTCTCTGTTACAGTAGTTCTCAACTTACTGCTACACCAATAAGCTGTTATCTACCAAAAAAACAGATGCTATATTATCGCTTCACAAAAAAAAAAATCAAAAACAAAACCCAAAAACAACAAAACCCACCAAAAAAAAAACCAACAGCAAAACAAGATCACTGTAAGTATTTATCTAGAATTATCCTATAGGCTCCAGAGAAACAGAAAAATATCTTCTTTTCACTGTACATATAGACCATGCGCTGTTACTAGAAGCTTTATAGGCAGAAGCTCAAACAAGAACACTGAACAAAGCTTCTGTTTCAACTGTAATACACACAATTTACATTATTTTCAACTAAATGTCAAGGATCCAACTTTAGTAACTCTGAGACTTTAAAACACAACAGTATTTCTTCCCAACTAAATTACACTTCACCAAATACAGCCCTACTGGAACATGAAGATGATAAATACATTAAGTTCAAGGCTCTCCACATTACATCTTGCACTACATGTCATGAGTGACATCAGGATGGGTGCCCCCCAGTAAATGGGGAAATAATATGAGGCTGCCAAACCTACCAAATATTCCTTCTGTAAAGTTCAATCATCACATCCAGAGAAATCTTGGCAGCAGTTGGATTGCTATCTCTCAACATAGTATACATGAAGTTCTGCAGTGTCTAAGAAAACAGTTTGAAAGAAATTATTACAAATCTTTCTTACTAAAAAGTAGTAAATTGCATCAGAAAGATATACTTACCGTATTTATTTTATTGTTCTTGTGTTTAGCATTTACATTCTTGATGTCTGTCACAATGTGAGTATACAGAGTCTGTAAAAGATAGAGCAAAGAAATAACTTATGCAAGTTGCACAAGGAACACAACAGATGCATCACAATTTTCCCCCAGCCTCCGAGTACTAAAATGAGACCGGACTCATCACTGATAATACTATTTTCCCATTTTAACTGGAGACGGAAAAACAACAAGAAGTTACTTTGAGTCTTTGTATATGCTTGATTTTCACGTATTCAAAAAAGTATACTTAAGTTACAGTACAAACAGTGAGATAGGAAAAGAAATAACATGAAGCTTAGCTTAAAAAATCCCATTTCATTCATGCAAGTACAAGCACATTCTAATAGCAAGTTTAATAATCCTGATCATGGAAAGCAACTCATTTCATGCTTATGGCAGAAAATCTGAAACAAAGCTTTATCTAACAGCCTTTTTTCCTTCTTCTGAAGTCAGAAGTTTTCACAAAGAATTCATTAATGCCTTCTCTGAAAGGAACGTGCTTATAGATCTCACTTGTAGACACATACTAGCTGCTTAATTGCAAATGCAACAGGTTAGAGGCCTGTCCTGCATGTAAGAAAGTTTACAGAAGCATGCTTCACTACTAATAAGATGTATTAACCAAGTCTTCCCTTTGGCACTTCTAGTTTCTAAAAGAGCAGAGCTATTTGAAACTTAATTATTTCACTAGCAAGAAACGCAGAACACCTGTCCAGCAGACAGAGCTGCATTACTCTGTTAAGCTGGTCAAAACCCACTGGAAGGCAAGACCAGTTTTTGTAACCACAGCTTACTTTTCGTAGAAGCTTATCGTGACATCTCAGCAGCTGAAAGAAGAGCTCCAGCAAACTCGTTGGATTGATCAGGTTCTTGTTTCTTAACAACATCAAAGCCTTACAAAAGGTCTGGATGAGAAACAGAGATCAGAATCAAAATTTTACAGCACCTCTCAGCTACCAGCTTCATTAAAAGGCTCAGCAGCAAGCTCAAGGTACTCATCTCTCACGGAACACAGCCTGCCCAGATGCCTTTTGCACGGGCCTTACCATTCGAAGGTCGGCATCCAGCACCGTGTGGTGGTAAGAGAGCAGCTCCTTCAGCTGCTGGGGGAAGTTGGCCATTTGTTCTGGGTAGCAGTGGGCAACCTAGGCAAAGACAGGCTCAGGTCAGCTGTCTATTGAAAACCCTCAGTTAGCAAACAACTGTAGGAAAGTTACAGATGTTATAAGCAACCCATAAAACCGTTCTTACAATAGCAATCTGGCTATGTATAAAGATACATAACACCCAGATGTGAAACTTATGGTGTAGTTGTGAGATCATTTTCAAAACTGACCGAAAAGCTCAAAAGAAAAAATTGCCTTCCTAGAAACAGCTGATACTGCATTAGTTTTGGTAAAGGCAATTTTACAGGACGTTGGCCGAGGGCTGCGCCAGCAGGGACCCGTGAAATGCAGCCATACACCAACACGGCACCCAGAGGCCCGAGGTCAGCTCACGAGTTGTCCCTCAGAAGGGTCGGCCTACCTGCGCCAGGAACATCACCAGCTCCGCCAGCTCCTTGTTGGGCTTATCCGGCTGGAAGGTGAAGATCTCCACATGGGACTGATAGTGGTGGTACTGCTGGAGGAACTGGAAACACAGAGCGGTGGTCTTTAATTCGGACGGGAAAACGCCCGCCACCCCGCCGCCGCTCGCTCTCTTACCTCTTCGGTGTAGGACGTGGGGTCGCGCTTGATGAGGTTCTGCAGCTGAGGCAGGTTGCTGGGCAGCTTGTTCCCCTGGCGGCCCGACATTGTGCCGGCTCCCGGTGCACACACCCGACGCGTGAGCTACCGACTGGGCGCCGCCATCTTAGCCCCGCCCCGCAACGGGTGCCGCCGAGGGACAAATTCGCCAGATAGCGGAGCTTCCTCGCAGTGCTTCCTGCGTGGGAGCACCGATAAACGGCGCAAGCTGTTATGTATGTGACTTGTAAAGAATCATAGAATCCGTATGGTTCGACAAGACTAAGATCATCCAGTCCAACCGTCAACCCATCGCTGGCTGCTTGCGTTTGAGTGAAATCTGTTTAAAGGGCAAGAGACCTGCAGTGGCCAGACATGGCCAATTAACACTTAAATTTTAACAGTTAAAACTAAAGCGGTTTTTTTATGCCTGTAAGATATTACCACCTGACAGAACGTGGTGAACCTCATATAGAAGAAGAGCATCAGAGCATCCTTCCTCTGCCATAGTCACGTTCAGTCAAAAACTGACAATAAGTAGGGGAAATGGAGGCACATATTTTAGGTTTGAGTAACATTGTCTCTATAAAATGCTCAATAAGAAGCTCTGGATCAGTTCCACATTGATAGAGTAATCAAGACTATTTTGAAAATGTTTCTGGAACAACGATGGTCTATCTGCTGTGCTGCTATTATTATATATGAGGTATTTTCTGCTGTGGTGTTTCCATGTCTTTTTCAGGTTAGCTACAATTTCAGCTAGTGCCTTGAGCAAAAATGCCAATTACTGATTTATTGTTATTATCATTATTACATATTCCAAAAGACAAATGATTTTGGAAAGTGGTTTGTAATAGAGAGCCATCTGTGCTTAAAGGCAGCTTATGAGTTGCCTGATTGTCTAGCAGTACAAATTGGTTTCAGTATAGCAAATAACAGACAGGACTGAGGATATAAACATGGGGATTCTGTTCTGGGAAGCACTGATTAAGTTGGTGATTATTCATTACTCAGCTTTCAAGTTAAGAGACTGAAGTTTTCTTCAGAGAGATAAACAGAAGAATATGGTTTAGGATTAAGGAAAGAAGAGAGATGCACTGGTTTTGTGATCTTAAAGTCATATCTCTCAGGAAATGGAGGAACCTGGCCTCCAGATGTGATCCTTCATTGTGGCAAAGTCCAGGAAAGATGCCTTCTCCAAAGTTCACAGGAACCTTATAAGAGATTAAAAGTCACATATTTAAGTGACTGCAGCATTGACCTGTCCTTTGCATGGCAGTTGCATTTCACTTGCCAAAGACTGTCTTGTAAGCAAGAGGCTTTCCTTTGTTGTCCTGTGCACTATCAGTGTAGAAGCTGCTGCGTGTGTCTTTGGCTGCTTGGGTCTGTGTGAACGCAGCTCTTTGATCACAAACTAAAGATGAGCCATGCAGGTGTAGAAACAGCAGTAAGTCCTGTCACATCCCTCAAAACCAGAGCTGCATGGAGCTTGTTTGCAGGTCTAGATCTGTCAGTAACATCATTATTTGCAGTAAAGGTGCAGAGGTGTGGAGTATTTTCAGGTATCTTATCTGCATTACTGAATGCCATCATTTCTGCCACAGCATGGTAATGTAATGCTAGGTTGAGGGGACCAAAACGTGCAATCAGTGACATAAAATATTTCAATGACATTTCCACATAGATCTCTGAAGCAGGTATTAGAATTTGCAAGATGTTGTTCCTTATGGCTTTAATTTGTACCAAGGGAGGTTCAAGATGTTGTTCCTTATGGCTTTAATTTGTACCAAGGGAGGTTCACGTTGGATATTAGGAAAATTTTTTTCTCAGAAGGAGTGTTAGTGCATTGGCACAGGCTGCCCAGGGAGGTGGTGGTGTCACTGTCCCTGAAGGTGTTCAAGAAATGTGGAGATGGGGCAGTGAGGAATGTGGTCAGTGGGCATGGTGGGGCTGGGTTGAGGGTTGAACTGGATGATTTGAGAAGTCTTTTCCAAACTTAATGATTCTATGGTTCTATGACAATATCTGCAGTTGCACATGCTGGCATTTGTTCTTGCTGCTCACGTGAATGATCCCATGCAACATCCACCAGTACCTAATCAGTAACTGCTTGGCTAGCATAGGGGTTAATTTGGTTTTGGATAGTCAGGCACAGGTGCAAATTCTAATACCTGCTTCAGAGATCTATGTGGAAATGTCATTGAAATATTTTATTTCACTGATTGCTACTGTGCTTGTGCTTTAGCATTAGATTGAGATGTGGAGCAGAGCTCACCTTAAAGCAGACTACCTTGAAATCACTCCCTTTTTCTTCCAGTCTGATCACTGTATGACTGCATGACCTATGCGACTGAAAAAGTAACAGTGTCCTGAGTTGACTTTTTTTTGTTTTATTACCATTTTTTCTTAACTGCCTAGGGTAGCATGGAAGACTGCAACACTGATATGATGGTGGGCAAATGTATTTTGACGTCAGCAAGAATATCAACCCAGTGTCTACAGGTATTGGGATGCCTATGCAATCTGTTTGAGTGTGCAGTATGCACGTATGTTTAGGCAACACAATGAGAATGTGGTCAGGAATTAGCAGAATGTATTCCAGAGGCTGCTGAGGAGAGTTACTGCAATGAAATTTAATTATCCTAAGTAATTTCTTTAGAATTCACCTGCCAGTTTGTGTCTTTATTCAAATGCACCAGGAGCAGTGATAGTACCATACTTAGCCCATGTTTACTTTTTATGTTTATCCTGGAAGCAATGTTAATGAACACTTAGTAAAGGCACACTGAACAGTATATTGTGTCATGTTTAATCAGCAGTAAAGACTTTAGATTGATAAGCTCTTCAATAAGTGCTGGTGTTGAAAAATGAGCATATATATTGTGGCAAAATAAGGTTCTGCTTTAATTCCAGTTTTTTTCCTCCGAAGTCCACAGAGATACACAGCTCTCTGTATATCTCTCTGTGAAAAAGCCTTTGTTGTAGGCAGATAGAATTGTGGATCTGGTTTCCACAACAACCCTCTTGAAACAAGCCTAGAGTACTACGCCAGCAGGGACTTAAAATAAATGCCTTGTCTGAAGTAATACTACAGAAATATTAATTCTGCATATTTTCTTGTAGGTTTTTAAGATTTTCTGGAGATTTTCTTGCAGAGTAATGCTGAAGTAGTTTTCTGTTTGCTGTTTGCTGCAGAATAACATGCCTAGGGTATCTTCATAGATCTGTAAATATCAGGTATGTACTTCTCTCTTTACAGTTCTTGTAGTACTTAACAGTAGTTTCTTAGAACACGTTTTTTACACACTCAGGAACTGCTTTGTCCAGAGGCATTGCTAACACAAGTGAATAATGCTGATTATCTCTGAAGAAAATCTTTTATGCTGCTTGGTATTGTTTGTTTTAGCAAGCAAGGACAGTACTACTGAAAGTAGTAATTTAAATTGTGTGTCAGTTGCTACTGAAACTACTGCTGAAGTAAGCTAATACAGGTAAGCATGAAACTAACCACACAAGCCTCGTGAGCAGTCTGACCTGGTAGGACCATTTATGGTTTAAACCAGGAAATCTACATTGAAAAAAATTTGTGGACATGAAAGAAAGCCAAGAATGAGTGACAGCACATCAAAACATGGGTAGGCTGGGCTGAACAACAGAATACTTTTTCAGTAGAGATCCAGTGTGGTCTCCGTGTCCCAGTTCAGCAGGTGCTCTAAGCTCTGAAGGAGTTAGTCTTCCAAGTAAAAGGCTTTCAAAGGCTTACAAAAGATAAGAAGAGAGGGTATTTCAAAAAATCCCATAGACAAGAAGTCACAGACTTCACAAAAGGACTGAAGATGTTATGCTATATATCCAGAACCTCTGTACCATTCAGGAGATATTGCAAAGATGAAAGTATTGTCAGGGATATAGTGATCATTTGGACTGAGTATTTGCTCCCATTTGTACTTTTATATGTCAACAGATCGAGCCGCTAGAGTGTCTGGGGCAGTACTTTGATATAAACACCTACAGGTAGAAAGGCAAAAAAGCCTCTCCTCAAGACCTCCACAGGCACTGCCTGCATCACTAAGAGCTCTGTGAAGGGGTAGGAAGAAGGAAATGTAGGAGTGCACTGCCTGTCTTTGGCCTAGCTGCTCCTACAGAGGTGACTGTCATGGCAGTCTCTTTGGCAGGCTCTTCCTACCACTTTGACCTGGAACATCTATGAAAAACTATTTGTATACTCTATAGCTGAAAATGTCTAGACCTGTTTTTATATCACTAGGATAATCAGCTTGTGCCTGGCTTTGTAGCAGCATCTCAGCATTTGTTTTAGACAGAATATTTCACAGCTGCTGAATGATTTGGCAGGAAATTAAAAAAAGCTTTTCTAGCATCCAAAGAGGAAGTAAGCCAAGAACAAGGGTAATGTGCAGATCCCAGAACCTGGTAAGTGCAGAATGCTTAAGTTTAGCAATGCTTGTCTGTTTTTCATTCCACTTGCTTTGAAGCAAAGTCTTTACATCACCATAGAGTAGACAGTGTTTTCTGATGAGGATAGTAAGTCAATACTTTATTGCCTGCAATTTAATCTCTGCAGATCAAAAAGGATTAAAGTGTTTTATAACTTTGAATCACTTTGTTATTGTGCTTGTGAAGTTCCTCTGGCAGTGTGAATTTCTGCTACCTGGCAGTTAGTGCAGCTTCTGCCCACTGTAGCAAACAGGGTCTTCTACTCCAGTCTGCCTGTTAAGGGCTGCCATGGCTGCCTTCCTGCCCATGCCCCTCTCCTGCAACTACAGAAGAGCTTGGAAAATGCAAACTGAACACTGCATCTGCAAGCTCTTGAAAATAAAGATTGGTTTAGCTACCAATTTCTACCTCTTTGAAATGGATGAAGCTATTTTGCTGAAAACATTCACTAGGCCTCAAATGAAAGATTGCACGTGCAGTGAATGAAAGCTGGGAAAGATACTGTCAGCTGAAATAAGGCTGTTGAGAAGAATGAGGGCAATCTTGACTGGACACTTAGCTATGAATGCTTGATGGAAGGGTCTGCTGTCAGAAAGTACTGGCTTGCATCCTGTCTGAATTTAATTGTTTTATCTAAACCTTATATTGGCTATGATTTTGACTACATACATGGTATAACACAATTTGTATTGTAATGGTGGGAAAAGTCAAAACTAAGCTTTACAGTATTTTGATGTTGTTGAAGCAGTATATATGCATAAAATAAGTGTTGAAACAACTTGTTAACTTCACAGAACTTTTTTTACTTATAAATTTTTGAAGTGCCGGGAATTTCTGTGCATGGACAGTTCTGATGTTTGGCAGTTGTTCATTTGCGCAGAATAAGTCAGTATTTTATAAGCTTTTCTCTAAAGCTGAATAGTAGCAAAATGCTGGCTAGCATGGATAAACATGCTTTCAGTTGAATA